GGAAGAAGGGAGGGAGGGGCAGTTTCTTGGGGTCTTTTAGAGCACTGGGTTTCTCTCTAGACTAAGACGATACAGGCTTAGCGAAATTAATAAGTACGGGCTATGTACATATGTACAACGATAACAACTTGGCATTATTATTATCATTATTTATAATCTCCGATGATTTATTGTCAGGATCGTAGAATTACTTCCACCTGGGAGATCCTTTGCCTTCTTTTATTTATCCTCGTCTTCGTCATCGTCATCTTAGCAATAAGTCGCAATTGGCCATCATGCCATAATCGTTTCCCGTCTCGCGGCATCCGAATGACGCTCATAGCCGTGTGAAAGATATGAAACGATTACGATCAATGATCCAACGGGATCTCCATCTGTTCAGGCTTAGAGACTCTACGATTAAACCGGGACGTGTACATTTTGCCTTGGATCTTCTGTATTTCTGACACACACACACATGCGCGCAAAAGCATGCGTTCACTTACGCATCGGTACAGTCGTATATACTGACATTCTCTCACCCAATCTTTCCAGCGCTCTCTCTCTCTCTCTCTCTCTCTCTCTCTCTCGCTCTCACTCTTCATATCAGCGTCTCTCGCTCTCTCAAATTCTCAGTTATGTTTAGTACCTCTGTAAATCTTTCTGATTCTTTTGCTGCATCCAGCGGCTCTATGACAACGTCTTATAGGTATAAAGTGGAAGATCGCAATTTCATGTATTACACGTGTACGGTTAGCACCTGGTGCGGACCGGTTTGGCTGGTACCTGGTTGCTGGTGGGAGTACGAGGGTTCCTGAAGTCTTGGCTTGCTGTATGGCTTATGAGGTCCTTCCTCGTAGCTAAAGCTCGCCGTGTTATTCCGAGCTTCTGCACTTGGCGGTTTGTACAGAGGTGGTAGACGATGTCTACCTTCTTCTGAAACCATTTCTAAACTTTCTTCTGCAGAGCCCAAGGCTCCTAGAGATGTTCCTGATAGAGGTCTCACTATGGATACTCTTGGTTCTCCTACGTCTTGATCCTTCAGAGGATTCGCATATCTTCTGAGATTCTCTTCGTTTTGTAAGTTGTTGGATTTTTCATCCAGGTCACTGCGATGTCGATGAAGAGATGTTTCACTACTGGTTGTTGCCGTTAGTCCGGATCTTTGCCTCGCTGATCTAAGGTACCAGGCACCACCTAAGGCTGCCACTAACAATATCATCGCTAGAGCGCCACCGAGAACAGCTAGGTATCCGTTGCCACTACCATTTGATGAATTTGGCTCATTGAGTGAAGCCGTCTCTACCTTGACTTCCAGGACGGAAGCCAGAGCAAGAGGTCTGTTGAGGGACCTGGTAAGGGCATCACCGAGATCCCGGGCTGCGTCAACCGCAGCCTCCGAAAATATTGTCACCTCGACAGTATTATTATCACCCAGCTTTAAATCACAGAGGAGAACGACCGACTGTGGTCTTCTTGGATCAGCGAGAAGCTTCCTGAGTTTTCTACAAAGTAATTCCACGGAGGTGCCTACAGCCAGGGTGTCGCGTCGTAGTAGTATGGATAATCGGGAACACGTAGGGCCTGGCGTGGCTTGACCAGGCCAACAAGACGGTGGCGCCGGCAGTGCTGGCGGACCTACTCTTCTTCCGGTCTCTACTGGACGACACTCTCCCCACGCTGGACAAAGCGGAGCCAAACAACTATCACCGGGCGACGGTACACAGACCTCATGAGCTAAACATGATGTTCCATTGAGACAGTTCCCTGGTCCGCACCAGACATTGCTACACTGGGTTTTGCCGTTTCGGCACTCGCAGACGTTGCAGTCGTCGTCCCAAGTTGCTGCCACGCATCCTGGATCTCCAGCTGTTCTTATCTCACAGTGGCTACCAGTTCGTCCAGGAGGACAGACACACGAATAGCTGGCTATTCCATCTATGCACGTAGCACCCCCCATGCAAGGATCACTAGCACATTCGTTGACGTTAATCCTACAGTCGGGTCCGGTGAATCCTGGGGCGCATTCACATCTGAACCAATTGACTCCGTCGACACATCTTCCACCATTCAGACAAGGAAGAGGCTGACAGTCATCCACATCTCTCAAACAGTTGGGTCCCTCGAATCCTTCCCTGCAGATGCACCGATAGTCGCCATCAGCAGTGTTAACGCAAGTCGCGCCATTTTCACAAGGGCTGCTGGCACAAGCTGGTGAAGCTATATGACAAGCGGTGCCTTCCCATCCCGGTGGACAGTGGCAGGTGAAACCATCTCCCCTGTCTTGGCATGTTCCACCGTGACGACAGGTACCAGGTTCGCAATGGCCGCCACGAAGGGCACAGGTCTTTCCTTTCCAACCACCGCGACAAATACAGGTAAAGTCCGCTACCTCGTCTACGCAGGTACCATTGTTTCTACAAGGTGAAGTAGTACACTCATCCACATCTGGAAAATGACAATAACATTTATCATTCGATTCTACTGTAAATTATAAACAGCATTAATGGTTGGGAATATTTACCTTGATCGCAAAGATCACCGCTCCAACCCTCCCTGCAAATGCACTGAAATGAGTTTACCAGGTCGACACAGGTTCCTCCATTTACACAGGGGTTTCCACGGCAGTCGTTAATATTTTCATGGCAGTGTAAACCCGTATATCCAGCGTCGCATATGCATCGACCCCCGTTACATCTGCCACGGCCGCCACAGGGAGCACCTTCGCTTCCGCAGCCAAGATCTTCGTCAGTCAATCCGAATTGCGGGTTGTGAGAAGCCGGTTCCGAACAATTCTTTCCCTGCCACTGCTCCGGACAGTGACAGTAATAGTCTGTTTGAGTATTGAAACAAGGAGCCGAGTTTCTACATGGATTCGAACTGCAATGATCCCGGTCTATTTCACACTGATAACCGGTATAGCCAACCGGACATACGCACTCATAAGCGTTCACTAGGTCTCTGCACTCGCCCCCACTTTGACACGGTTTCGAAGCACATTCGTCAATATCAATGTCACAATCTTTTCCAGAGTACCCGGCGGTACAGGAACAATGATAGTCATCGACCAGGTCAATACAGAGCGCACCATGTTGACATTGTCCAATGCAGTCATTGATGTTCTTCGTGCAGTTCTTGCCCGTGAACCCGCTTCGACATCGGCACCTAAAGCAAAACAACGCCATAAGAATTCAATGAAATCTAAAGGAATGATTTTCTATATCGATCGAACAGGAATCATTACCTGTAATCACCAGCCAGATTGACACACGTTATAGAGTTTTTGCAGGGTGACTCCTTGAGGGCGCATTCGTCGACATCAAACTGGCAGAGTAAACCTTGCCAAGCCGATGGACAGTGGCAGACAAAGCCATTCTTCCCATCGACGCACGTGCCGCCATTTTGACATGGTTGCGAAGCGCATTCGTCTATGTCAGTAGCGCAATAGGGTCCCGCGAATCCTGGCGCGCAGTCGCAGTGCGCTGATTCACCCAGTTCACGACAGGTAGCTCTATGCAGGCACGGATTCGACGCGCACGGATTGTCGACCTTCTCGCAGGTGGCACCTGAGAATCCTTCAGGACACGTGCATCGGTACTGGTCAGGAGCAGTGTTCTCACATGTTCCACCGTTCTGACAAGGTTCATGCGTGCCACAATAATTGAGATCCTGATCGCAGAGAATCCCGCCCCAATTGGTATCGCATATACATTGCCAACTGGAACCGTTGCAATAGCCATGTTTGCATCCTGGATAAGGGGTGCACTGATCGCAGAATTCGCCTCTCCATCCGTGACGACATTTGCACTCGCCACTTACATTGCAATGACCGTGAACAGGATGGCAGCCCTCTTTGCAGACAGCTAAAAAGAAGTCCCAAAGTTATACTCTCGACGATGCCCACTTTATCTACATATACAAATTACGGGTTGATACATAGATATGTACGTATACGCGAGAGAATCGCCTCGGCTCAATTAAGCAGACAATTATATCCTTTCGGCCGTGAAACAAAAACTTGAACGGCGGACACGCATCCTTCGGCGTTTACTGGCACGACGTACCGTTACATCGCGTAAGTACTCGCTACGGCGTCTTTGATTAATAGTCCGGTTTCTCGTGTCTCCCTGATTGTTGGACATTTACGGATATTTATATAACTGCATCCTGGGACGTCAAGGTTTTAAATACCGTGCACTCGAACAAGTGACGTTTTGCGGGTACGTGACGACTATTCTCTTTCGGTTCTCTTACTTCGCGCTCGACTATATGTATATAAGAAAACTCATCAGGCAAGAATGATCAAGTTTACGAATTTTTCCTGGGATTTCCGTGGCGCCAGTGCTCGGAAAAACTGGACCTCGTAAAAGGACAGACGCCTTCGTTACCGATAGCATGACAAAAAGTGCGAGTCTGCAACCGTAGGAATCCGAAGTGTTCCCCATATGAGATGAGAGAACGAGTGTAGCCTCTCGGCGAGAGAAGCTAGCAAGTCGCACTACAGAGACAGCTGTGGATATATAAGCCGGTTCACATAGTCGTGACAAAACAACGTTAGGAACTCGATATACTACGAAGCCACGAGGTAGAGAAGACGTCGTACTCGAGTGAAATCCACTCATTGACCTTTTAACGCGCGACAAAAATGTCAGAGCCAGTTTTCTCATTACGCGTACGTCGCGTCCGTGAGTCCGTATGTATTCCCATCATCCCTGAGGCGCCGGGACGAGCTCGCGTCGCGGTCGTCTTTAAGAACGGGATGATGACGCGCTACCCCAGATAGAACAACGCTAACTAAGGTGAGCGAGTGAGTTGCATATACGTGGTATATGCCTACCCGTCTATGCATATGTATATGTAAATACCCATATGGATATGACCACATTTGTACATACAATGTACCATAACGATACGATACGATATAGATACAGTATACAATACGCATAGATCCACGGGGAGGCGAGAGCAACGATTAAGCAGCAAAGAAAGAGCTGTTATATTACCCCGGTGCTCCATTGTGCAAGGGGATCTGGCGTGATGTCGCTATCTTTGTACGATCGTATGACATGCGTCTAACGTCCGTCCATTAAGGCACGCTTCGAGATAATTCGTATATTTTACTACCGTGCCCCGGTGAGGAGGCCGTAGGTCTCGAGCGTGTCGATTCGACGTGCTCGAGACGTAGCATCGAGTATGGGCACTGCCTGCGAGTCAAGTTAAAGTCTAGTCAAAGTCATCGAGAGAATCTAGAGAGATGGTTTATGAACTTCAAGTGTTTCTAGGTATAGGTAAGGGGTCAGCTAGTTTCACGGACGTCTCGGGAGCTAATTAATTCTCTTTGGAGTTTCGGTGTCATCGTGTCCCGCTATACGGTTTCTACGTGACTCTAGGTGAAAAGTGTAAATTCTGTACTCACCGGTTTCGCAGTCGGCACCCTTCCACCCTTGAATGCAGACCTTGTCTCCGTTCTCGTCACAGGTGTAATGCCCGAATATGTCGTTCCGGGGTCTACAGAATTTTGTGCACGTGGCGTTGTAGTAATGATCTGCACACTGGACCCTCACTCTGTAGGCCAGATGAGCATTTCTTCCCTGATGATTGAGGGTGTGCCACGTAGGTCCAGGTAAGACAATACCACTGTAACTGGCCTCTTCGATAACCCCAGCACTGGCCTCGTCTCGGGCTTGTAGAATCAGTGTGAATTGCCTCTGAAAATGGCGAAAGCAATTTGCCATGAATTCGATAGCTTTATACTCGAGATCTCCCGTGGGTCTTGTTACTTATACGTAGTAGTTACGGCATCATTGGATTTTAGCCAAAAATGGAATACACAGGATAAACCGGAACGACGAGTCTATATCGCGGGCGCCGCGGCGTCCCACATATTATTCGCCGATCGAACGTCGATTAGATATTTTATATGGCAGAGCGTCTATGCGTGTCTCCTGTCTCTCCTTTTCTTGTGTTTTTTTTTTCTTTATCAAACTTGTTTTTATTTAACGACAAAAAAGAAGAACCGTGAGAATCCTGTACTGTCTTGTCACGGTAAACGTGGGACAGCAGCCTCTGGCAGAGGAGTAAGAAGAAAGGCCAGGGGCGTAGGATGCGCTTGAAATTACTATTAAGAAGGGTTAGTGTCCTGCGTCGTATCGGTACTCTATCACGGTAGTTATCTTTACGCCTAGTTAGAAATGTCTTCCACTATACGGTCCACGTAGCGAGGAACCTGATTGGAACCACCAATCAGGTTCTGTGAGTGACGGCCGGCTAATGTAATAAATAAATTCCAATCGTGCGACCTACAGAGCTCTCCCTGGAGCGAAGAGCGAGTATAGAAGAGACGCGTCCCTGGTGTCGGGTCGATGTAGAAAGCTGGAAGTGTTCCTGATCTGACCGGCCTCGCAAAAGGGGATCCAAGTCGGAGAAGCGCGAGTGTCGCGCGTATGCACGCCGATCATGTACCTATACGTGCTCATATAGTATACATACCGACTGGTTCTAGAGTGGAGTTAGCAACCAAAAATAATCTGAGTTTCTAAAAGCGTCTTCCTTCTTCCGAGTCTTTCGAAAGTGTAAAGTGATAGAAAGGAACCCGGTGTCGAGTGCCAAGCTTGTACGTGTTGCCATAACGACGGACTTAATGGCGGATGATCGACGACGCGCGCGGTTAAAGGGAAACCCATTGCGAGAGCATACACCGTGGCCGAGTATACGTAGTATCTAGACGGTAAAGGAGGATAATTTTTCTCTTGTAATTTCTTTTTCACTTAAAAGCAAAAAGTCAGCTCGAAGCAACGTAACGTTATATGTAGATTGTGATGGTTTTACGTGCTCCAAGTTTTTCGACACAAAGAGGACATTGTCTTGAATCCGAGCGCGTCAGACAGCCTGAACCAAGAGCAAAGTTGACTCGTCTCCCGAGTACCTAGAGTAGATGAGCGCTAATTGGTGTTAATTGGTGGCTCGCTCGGGAGTCTGCTTTCCCACGCCCGCGACTTTTATGCTCGCTTTTTTTACACCTTGTATATTCTAATTCGCCGAGAGACCGCGGTCGACGTCGCTATCAAAGGGCGCCTTTTATTTCGTGCGCGACCAGACGCCTTTGTTGGTGGCAACCAATTCCTAAAGGGATCCTAACAGTGTGACAGGTTATACGTATACGCGACATCTAGCCACATACGGTGCCACGATACGATGTTTTTGACATTGTCGATGCTTTCAAAGGATTAAACGTCACAGCAGGCAGTCGGTACCACGTGGTCTCATAAAATCCACTGGTGAATTCCGGAATTCGCGTGGGTGTCCCTAAGACTCCGGATGGATTAGCAAAACGCGAACGATATTTATCCACAATGCGCAGTTATTTCTCGCCGTACACCAATGCTTCACGTGGAGACACGGAGAGGAGTCTCCGTGAAGAGTCTGTCAGGCAGGAACGAGTCGGCATGTGCATTCGCAAAGTTCGAAGTCACTCGTCGGAACCGAGTCGATCGGATGCATGTTGAATCGGCTGATGAGGAGCTGCCTGCTCAACTACCAATACCAAAGCGTCCATCTACGTATACCGAATAGAACGTCTCTCCTCTTTACGTCAGACGACATGTCTTGGGTTTCGCGGAAAAGATCGAACGAGCCGTACGTGAGGACGCGTACAAAGTCCTTAGCGATGGTAGCGTCAGAATCGAAAGGCTCGGTCGGTTGGTTCCCGAGCAGCGAAGTGACTCAAACCGAGAATAAAGTAGGTACATGCGTATTTCAAGTGTGAGATCAGCGATAGTCGCGGATGAAAACAAGGCATTGTTACCACAGGACTAAACGTCTACCAAAACCTGGCATCTCTGGAATGTACATCCGATAGAGATTCAAAGAGAGAAGCGTTTCCTCGCTTTGGGAGATATTAATTATATTTAGAAAGTACAAAAGAATTTCATGATCGAGGGAAACATACAAGTTTTAAACAGCGATAATTCCCGTTAACTGTAGGGTGCGGCAAGGAAGGAATAAAAGTCGAAGGGCTCAAGGCCGACCGTCATTCGGATGTTGTCGCGCCTACTTCCAGCTAAGTCGAAGAGGAGTAGTTACCTGCATAAAGCGAGCCAAGGGACTCTTCGTATTCCTTGTATTAAATGACTACGAACGTATCTACACATACAAGTTAGACGATCAGGCAGGCAGGCAGGCAGGCAGGGAGTCAGGCACGCACAGGAGAAGGGTGATGCGTGTACGCACTTACGCTTTGAGAAACAGGGAGAGACGTAGGCTAACTAAAAGGACTTTGGTATGCGGTCCGCGCAGCGGGTTCACACACGACCGGCCGAAGGCATTGCCCAAACCGTGGCGACATTCTCCCTTCATTTACATACGCCATTATACACCTGTATATACTGTCTCCACACGGACCAGTAACGTTATATACGTATAAGAGTAACCCGTGGCTATACATATGTATATATACGGCCCACGGGACCGTTTCAGAGATGCAGGCATACACCTGTTGGACCCTGAGTCACTCTGGTCCCCTGCGGGGCCTTAAGACAAGCCTCTGCTCGTTTCACCGTTTCAGTTTTCTCGTTCTCTCCTTATGTTAGCTTCTCCTCCTCGTTCTTTTCTTTTTACTCCTCCTTCTCCAGATCTCCCCCCTCCCCTCTCTCTCTCTCTCTCTCTCTCTCTCTCTCTCTCTCTCTCTCCCCCCTAGTCTTATAGCGCCTCTCAATCTCTGTCTCTTGAGACGGCAAAGCTTCTTTGCCTCCCCCAATGCGGCGGCAACCTCGCGCAACGCAACACACTGCCCATGCTAATGCCCCACCGGTAGAATTAGTCTACACGATACACACCTTCCGTATTGGTGCTCGATCGAGCGTAATGTATGTACATAGTATATATGATAATGATAATGATACACACTGGCCACGTGGGCCTGAATGCTCGTGACGTCATATCATTGATAGAGGCGCCCACATCAGAGACGCATGCACTGTAGATATATGCTGTACCCAGCCCGGTAGTTGCGTATGTACAGTATGCACTGTGAAAGCAGCTAGCGCATTGCCAATAGTCGATAGGCGACTGATGTAGCGAGGGAAAGAGAGAGGAGGGAATGAGAAAATGAAACAGATGAGACTCGGAGACGTACAGTCCGCATGGGAGAGCGAGCGTAGTAGAGACGCAGATGTGTAATTCTGGACGTAACAATAGCATGACCAAAGGCGGAGGCGTCTCTTCTGGGTAGAAAGGATTATGCAAACTTGCAGCATCCTCTCACTTACCGTCGTCTATTCTTTTCCGTATTCCTTTCTACGTTTCCTTATGCGCAATATGGCAATAGGACTGATGAGGAGTAAGTAAGATTGTTTGAGTGTTTCGAAAAAAAATAACGGATAAGTGATGCTGTTGTCATGGTGACGGCTACTATCAAGGAAGGTCACCTTACTGACGCTCTTTGACCCAACTTCCTTTTCGATATTTTCTGTAGTACACTCCAAAGTATTAACCCTCACAATGAATTAGCTATCTACATGCATAATCAGAAAGTGAAATCATTCCCTGAAAATGGGGGCTTTCCGAATGGCACAAATATTTTTTTTTCCACATTCTGCAAATGTAAGTGAAAAATTAGAAAACATTAAAAATCGTAATTTTTTTTTCATAAAATACCTTTTATCTATGGGAGTTTGTATGTTTTTATACAAGTTATTTATTTTTTACTTTAAAAATACATCAATCAAGCAAGTTATTCTTTTATGAAGACGAAAGATAGGCTTTCTGCCTATAATTTCTGGCAATATAACTGTTAAGAATTCAGACTACAATTTGACACCGAGTAACGTTCATCGCAGTTTCAGTAATGAATACGTGACTGATTACGCGGTATTAAACTTTGGAATGGACTACGAAATATAAAAAATCGACCCAGGTTGGAGGGCATTAGTAAGGTGACCTTCCTTGTGAGAGAATAAAGTGCAAAAGTCAACGAGGTATGAATCAATTTTCGGTGGCCGTCCAGTTTCTTGAGGCTTGCGCTAATGAGAAGCGCGTTAAGCCGGGTCCCAATTAGTCTCGTAGTCGAGTGTAATTTCGGCGACGACCTTCCTCAAATGGTGGGACAAGTAGCGGAAGAGAAGGCGCTGAGAAAACGAAGCGGATTGGCACTTCTCTTAAGGTAGCTACAGCCTGAGATAGGATTCTCACAGTTGGGCGAGGTTGAGCAGCGTTAAGAGTATAAAGGTGTTCGAGGCGCGACGAGAGAGTCAAAGTTAGCACGAATAGAACGTGTAGAATCGTAGACACATAGCGGGGCATCCGGGCGTTTATCTGAGTGAACCTCCCACCTAGGACGGAGACACCGTGTACAGCTGAATTTTTCCTTTCTTATTCTCTCCATTTTTTTTCATCCTTTTGACTGTCATGTTTGCTTTCCATATTTTTTATTATGAGCACGGTTTATAATTTAATTAACTCATCCAGTGCTAAATGGACGAGGCACGTTGGACAGCATCCTCCGTACCGAGGGAGAGCTCTCGAAGCAATTTAAGGGTCTCTGTTTATGTCCGGGCCCTCGAGAAAACGCGTTGGGGCTACCCTTTTTCGTGGCAGCGGATGCATGGGAGCCTCTTAGAGCCCACGAACGAGTTATGAAATATACAAACATAAGGCTCTTCAAATAATCTTCAATGTGTGTTTTAATGTTTAATGCGCCCGTCGGTTCCTCCGGGTTCTGAGGACCCTCCAGAACGCGTCGACGTCTCCTTTATGTACCCCGTGGTGGTACCTGAAAGTTCCCTCGAATCCTCAAGATCTATCCAACCTGACGCAACAGTCCTTCCGATGGACAATGGGAACTCGAAGAGGTGTTGCCCCTTGCGACAGACCGACAGACAGACACTGAAATAGACGGCGCGTAGGCTTACGAAAAGTACTTATGAATTGCAACTCCCAGACTACGTGAAAACTCCCAGACGTCGGCCGATCTGTGGCGTCGATAGCCATGAATATCTTGCATCGTAAAAACCGGATGGGATATAAGCGCCGATACGCGAGACGGCTTTGAAACGCGTGAAAAGGCAGCAGACCGGAAATCCCGAGGATTCGATCGCTCGATGCCAGTCGTGGACTCCGATTCGTATTCACTTTATACAGGGTGGCCCGCGCATCTAGCATGCCTGTACAACTTGTAAAATAAATATTGTATTGAAAAAATTTTTTATATACAACCTGTTAGGTTTAAAAGGATGCGTTATCTAATGCATAATTTTTGTTTATCGGTGGGAACGTTTCGGAGATTTCAGGATCAACGTCGTGTTTGTAAATGGAATACTACATTTTTATGCCAAATTGTCAAAGAACGTGAAATTTGGAGTAAAAAAGTACTGACCTGTATTAACCGTAAACTTAATAACTAACTTTTTCTTCAAAATTGTCTTCGCGTAATCTCGAGCTAGATATTCAATCTTATCACAGATTTCCATAGGACAGCTAAATGTTTACGTGACAACGTTTTTTGACATCAGTGACCTAGTAACTTGTCGCGAAAATCGTAAGTGCCGAAGTAATATCCATTGACATTAACACAGTGATGCAAACTAACTATAATGAAGAAATTGAACTTTGAATCATATCCGCACCGAGTGTAATGTATGCTTCACGAATACACTGTTTCGTATTCTCAGGTGTTGTCTCAGGTGTTTAATTTGCCCCACAAAAAATAGTCCAAAGGATTAAGGTCCAGCGAGCGCGGAGGCCACGGCCATTTTCAAGAAACAAAGTGCAATTACTCGTTAGTCATTAGGTTTACGGCAAAATACAGGTCAGTACTTTTTTGCTTCAAATTTCACGTTTTTTGACAATTTGGTATAAAAAAAAATATAGAATTCTATTTACAAACACGTCGTTGGCCTTGAAATCTCCGAAACGCCTGCACCGATAAACAACAATTATGCATTACACAACGCATGCTTTGAAACCGTACAAATTTTATGGACCAAATTTTTCCATACAATGCATACTTTACAAGTTATACAGTCGTGCAAGTTGCGTGGACCGCCCTGTATAGATCTATACAAGTATACGTGGTACAACACAAACAAGAAGTTATTCTCGCATCGCTTACCGTCCATCTGAAGGTGAAGTGCAATTGCAGGGTAGCTGGTTCGTTAAGGGTGAACGTGTTCTGGCCCAGGGCGTGACTAGATACGTTGCCAAAGCTGCAGGAGCCGATGGCAGTTACATTCGACTGGTACTCCTTGAGGCATAGCCAAAAGGCAGTCGAGCAGGGTGTAGTGCACGGTGGTAAAGTGCCACCACCCGATCCGGTGGTGTCTCCTCCTCCACCGCAACACCTTCCGTCCACCAGAGTCCCCCGGTTATTCGTCAACGAGAGGATCTGCACCTCGAAGAATCCGCTACCGGTTGTCGCCTATAGAAAAAAATGAAAAGTTGCATTAGATCTCGTATCCTCTCTCATTGTTATGCTGTTATTCCTTTGTCGAATGCAGAGGAATTGCGTGAGATGTAAATTCGGCCTCGAGAATAAAGAGAAGACGAGAAAGGTATGCAGGAAGATTGCAAGCAAGCGGCGAGGCCTTCTCTTTTATTAACCTCGAAGCTTTTGGCGTTCCGCTCCGGTAACGCACAAAGATACACGAAGTACTCGGCAGCAAGGAGACTCTTGGAAATATGGAGAACGGAAGAGTCCAATTGAGTGGAACATTCATCAGGGCGAAAGGTTCGCGTTATATGACTTACTGAATTTATGTTGATAAAGTAAATACATCAGACCAAATGCGAAATTGTTGTCTGAAAACAGTAGCCGGTCGTGACCAAGCAATAAATCGACCGTTTCGAAAAATGGTATGGTTATTTCGATGGGCTCGGACGTGGCAGTAATATTACGTTCTCCATATGCGTGGAGCTGGAGTATATATACGTATGCGTGCACGTTACAGACTACGTAATTACCGTAAAAGTAAGATCGAAGGTAGAAAGCGCAGAGGATCGTCTGCCGAGCATCGGTTTTCATAACGTGCTTCTGCCTTCAGCCTTATATAAGGTGACTATCCGTTCCTCGAGTCAACAGCGAATGACATTCTTACCGTCGCGACTTCATCCATATTTAATTACCATAAATGAGGAATACGAGAAAGATGATGAAAAAAAAAAGACTCGAAGGAGTTTCCATGAAACTTTAGGGGGAGTCGAGCGCGTAAGGATAAATAATTATATCGAATGCCAAACGTCTGATCGAAAAAGAGAATGATTTACCGAGCTTCCGGTGTAAGCTCACTGGATCGGTTCGACCGGTCGCTCAGTTGCGTAAGAAGAAGCATCGCTCGTACACAAATGCTCGGCGAAGTTCGAAGAATCGTAACCCGAGCCCAGTAACGCAGTAACGCATACCAGTTTTTACCTGCGTCGTTCGAGTGGCCGCGCACATACGTGAGACAAATAGCAATAACCGCGACCTTCTTTTTCCCGGCAATTGAATTTCAAGTATTCCAAAAACCCACGGCGAGCCCAACCAAGGAGATTATTTACTTTCCCAAAGTTTGCCGAGTCTCATCACGTGCAGACGCGAAACTCATCCGGCGCGGTGAGCAGCTTCAGAGAAGACCTTTCGGTTTGGATCGCGAAAAGATTCTAAAAATACATTATGGATCCCAATGAAATTTCGTGAGTTTCCTTCACAATCGCCAGCCCGATATACGTACCGATGCCTAGGTATCAAGTAGGTACGTGATGCCTGATACTGGCCTCGTCACCCATCAATACACATACAGGAGGCAAATTATAAGGGAGCCAATTGAAAATCCTGAGTAAATAGTAAGAAACAAATAGTTATAGAAGGGAACATGATTTCTTTTCCGTGCGTTCAGCATCGCAATTACCTGCTGGTCATTATAGCACGCGTGCGTTTCCCACGAGGATCCCCGCGCGTTTGGTAATTTCAAGCGCGTTACGTGCCGATTGATTTTTAGACACCTAGTGTGTAGAGAAGATTATGCGTGTTTTAACTGTGGTATATTGCTGAGGGTACCATCGTATTCGTTATACCTGTTACTACTACGTCAGCGTACAAGTCGCGAACGCGTGTAGGTCGGTGAAGAGGCTTTCCTTTCCGCATAGCCAAGGTGCAGCGAGCCATACCTCGGAGGCTCGTTTTATATACGTGGAAGTAACAGAGTTAATATGAATAATTTCTTGGGGAAGTAAAGAGAGTGAAGGAGGAAGGAAAGGTAAAAAAAAAAGGGAAAAAGAAAGAGTTCAAACTCCGAATACCAATCGTGGATAAACGGCCTGGAAAACAGGCGGGTGAACGTTGAATGGAAGTTTTCGAAAATTGAAACGTTTCACAGTAGATTCGTGAAAGTTTGAAAAACGCATATATGCTAACATAGACGAGGCGTAAATTGGAATAGGATGAAAGTGGATTCGCGACCAAGTAATTCCACGTGTAATCGCGCTTATAACGGCTGTTTGCGTATAGCTAGATGCGTTCTGTTATACGTGACGAAAGGATCGGGAAGACTTTCGATGCACGCTAGCAACTTGCACGTAAATCGTTCACACGTATATACATATATCAACTATAGAGAGAAGACGGTAATGGACCGTTGAGCTTGTAAAATTGAAAATGAAATCGCAAGCAGTGCATTTCAGTAGGTAAACGATTTACAAGGCACGTGAATGCATTATAATAGGTAGCATGCGTGAGCAATGCAGAAGGGAAGGTATAAGGGAATCGCGTACAAATATTATTGTGTTAATAACACAAAGAAAGGAGAACTGGGTTAATCAGAAATGAGCGATCGCTATATTTATGCTGAATCTAATAATCATATCGAATTCGATTCTTCATTCATCAATATACTCCGTTGCTTGCTTGTTAATATCTCCGGTTCACGGGGTAAAGTACCGCGATGCACCTTATATGTATATGCGCATATTATGCAAAGGCTTGTATAACCGACTCCGTAGTGCTGAGGTCTGTCGTTCCAATTTCTAGGACGATTATCTTTATCCGAGTTGGAGGAACCTAGAGAACGGCGTACGCGGAGTCTCACGCAACAAGTCTACAAAGAACAAGGGCTTCTCGGTTTCGGTTTCGAAAATACGTGAGCCTTTCATTTTATCTTTTGAGCTCCCAAGTTGTAGGTAGTAATTACCAGTGGCCGCTACCTGCCCGAGTGAAATAGGCCTGCCGAACACCATTTAATTTTATACCATAGTCTCTGCACAGCCGTTCTACCTAATATATATATATATATATATATATATATATATACGTATGTATGTATTATACATATAGATACCACTGAGTGTATCCACATATGCGCGTGCTATACCACTGTTACACTTACGCATATATGGACAAACGAACGTATGGATGTGTATACTCTGTTACCGACTAGCCTCCGGCCCATATATCTCTCTCTGCTGGGGGAAGGCCTATACTTAATATTATTTGCTACCCGCTCAAACCCATCGGTAAGCCTGCCAGACCTCTAACCAAGAGAGAATCGACCACAAATTACCTAAATAATTAAAAAGTCTTACCCCGCGTGGGAAGTTGCAGCAAGCTCAACTTGGGATTTGGTACGGAGGACTGGTACTAATTGTCAATACGCACGGTCGAAGATCTACTTTGTAGAAGGGAGAACAAAACAGTCCAGCGGGTCCTCCTTTCGTATTCACGGATGTAACCCGTGATACGAGAAGGTCGTGAATGTTGAGACGGGCGTGGTTCGAGAACCGGAGTTGGTTTTCGTGCTACTAGGCCCATAATATACTTTGTCGAAGATAGGAGAGGTAAGGTACGCGCGAAGGGTGCAGCAACATATTCGACCTTCTCGGCTCGATGAAAGGTGGAGAAGACAAGAGACTTCCTATTACCTTTGCGAAAGGATGAGAGGAGCGCCCAATTTGCTCGAGGCGTCATTCTTTTTATATTCACAGATGCCAACTGGATCTTTTTTATTTCTATATCCTTTAATTTTTTTTTTAGTCTCATCTTGTTCTTCTTAGAAGATCGCCAGCAGCTGAATGAACGCTCGTTGTATTGCTCCGGAGAACACGATCGGCATTTATCGATTCGACTTGTCATTTATGTCGACAGCGTTAATAGGAGTATCGATGATTCTGGTAGGAGGATTTCTGAATCAGGAGCATCGATCATTTCTGGCGTACCTACCGATTATAATTATTCGCGTGCGCAAGATGTACCCGCGACAGTGGCGGTCGACGTCGCCGGTACGTAGGGTGGCAGTAAGTTTATGAGCGTGAAGCGTGATAATTAAAAGCCGCGAGGACACGAAGTCTCTCGGATAGTCATTGGGCTGAGAGTTTAATCGCGATAGGAGTCGACACGATGACATCGACATGTGGGATACGAGCGATACGAGTCAACTACCGCGTTTATAGTTATACCTACCTGTGTGACGGGGACAAGTGAGTAGAGAGGATGATAGTGCGAGGGAAGATGCACCTATCTGGTTACCGTTACGAGAAATCGCGGGGGTGAGTAGTTGGCATCTAGGATTCGCGTGAGAGAAAGTAGAGACGAGTGAAAGTCAGTTGTAAGGAGTTTTCGAAAATCTTTAAATAAACCTATGGAACGAGCACATTTCTATTAATGCCAGTAAATAGGTTTGGTGGGTACCGATAGAAGAGTGACTGTGGGAATCAGTGCCGACATACTTTGTTTTTCATTCGATTCTTGCGCTATCGAGAGCATCCTTTAAAAGAATTACGAATCTGCTTTTAGTTAAGTTTCACCGATCGCACCTGTCAGAGTCCATGAAATTATCCTTTTCATCCGTAAAGTTTCGTCTGGCAGATCCAAATAAGAAAAAAATGTGTATCGACTTCGAACATCCTTCCTTCTTTCATGATCGTACGACATAGCAAGCTATACATCTTCTCCGCAGAAGATAAAAATGAAAAATAAGATAAAGACGAAGTAAGGGTATCGAGGGATAAGAAGGTAGTGTAAGACAAGTACTGGGGCGGGATAAAAAGAGGCTGAAGAAACAGTTGAATCGCAATACGGAATGATCGTATCGAATTACAGATTCCACGTCGATCGATGTTGGTGGATATCTTGAAAAAGTATTTTATCAGTTATATACAGATCGGCTCGTATAAATGTAATATTTGCGCGTGGCAAATGTCGACCGGGTTCGAGATGAGGGCGTTCAGTAGACTTTCTGGGAACTCGTAAAAGCTCGTACCCTACGAGCCTCGATCTTCCAGAAGTCTAAAAGATGTTGAAGCCACACACCTGTGAGGGACCCATAGGGTACCGGGTTGGGTTCATTTTGCTGGTTGCCGTCCATGAGACCACAGTAGATATCCATCCGTGGTATATCCAAGCAACGAGCGAAGGCGAGTCCAGTAAGAAAGCCTCAGGGCTGATTTTTATAGGAGGCTCGCGTGACCGCCAGCTAAATGCTTCGCTTTAACCCGCCCAGCTACGCTGCCGCTAGACTCCGTACTTCTGCCTTCTGTACTTCTGGATCCCCGTCCAATTCGTGGCACGATACATCTCCCCTTCTGCCTTCTGCCTTTCTGCTTTCTGCCTTCTGCCTTCTACCTTCTGGTCGCAGAGAAATCTCAGCCTCCGTTTAGCTCCGGGGCTAACAACCTCCACCTGATGCTGAGCGATAATTGGCCACGGTAAAAGAAGTCGTCTCAGAGAACAAGACCCGCTATCGGTTTCCCAGGATAAAACGGAAGAGCGGACGTTACGAGGTGATTACTCTCTACACTCGATATATCGCTGAGCATCGTATCCATCTTTAAGATCGCTCGAGATTCATCCCGTGAGATTTTCGGAGATACGCTACAACGGAGTGTACTGGTCCATTACTCCTGGTTCTTCGTGGCGAATACCCGTTCGAATTGGTATAGGGGATATTATTGCTTCAGGTGGGTACTTTGTGGATTTTGAAATACGGTGCTTGGGGATCCTTAGCGCGTGAAATAGCCCGACGTTGTAGGATGTAGGTATTTCCTGTAGCGTTGGGCGTTTATTGCGATACGCTTCTCCTACAACGGTATCTCGTATATCCCTTCGAGTAATTGTGTATTATCCTTGTAAGGGAATTGTAGATCTTACTAGGTAATAGAATGAAGATCTGTGTGTACGAATGTATTCATAGGTATAGGTATATGCGTATACCATGTATTTTTTTAGTAGGAGATATATGTACATTGTACACTTACACAATATGTATGTATGCACATGTGGTTCGGCTGCGGTTGATATAAAAAGGATAAAAAGTTTGCGAATGATTTCCCGACGCTGATCGACCACCGCAGCTTATAATGGGATTTATGATAATTGCTGGAAGCATCCTGCAATTTCTGACTTGATAGTCGCATTAATTCAATTATCCGAGACGGCTGATGAGGCGCGGAAGTTCGTCTGAAGCTTCATAGAAATCCGTAAATGCAACAGCAACAACCACGACCTTCCCGTATATCTGCACGCTCGACGCATCTGCGAAGATTTCCTTGGAAATGCCATTGGACGTATAGTAATGGGCATTCGTGGATAATAATGACGGCGCCAGGTTTTCTATTGGCAGCGATAAGGCCATCCCGGTATCGCTGTGTGCCAGAACTTTCGTTATGAGAGACCAATTTCGTCAGGAAACTCCAGATGGGCGAACCCGTTTACGTGAGTTCCGCGATTTCGTGGCCTCGAGCCCTTTTGAACTATTTTGTAAATTAGGGTGGGCCCACGTCAAGCGGCGCTCGCGCTCGCGCACTGTTTGGCGGGAATTTTAAAGCGGCTTTCTGCGAAAGCTTTTATGAATATGTCTAATGATAATGACAACGGCCACGCGTTATCCCGGTGATTCCCAGTCCAGTCAGAAATCAAGAGAGACGCTTAATTACACACGTGCTAAATTGGCCGTATGGTGCGCGTCTCTGGTACGCGCGACTCGCTATTCTTTTCCTCGAAATGTACTGCGCGCCGGCAATAACTCCCGTCTGGATTTTCAAGCTTCACTCTCGTGAAATACACAGGTAATTCTTTGAAAATCATTAGAAGCCAGGCCTAGATTTAGAGACTACCTGGAGCAGCTATCATACTGAAGCGGCAAGTTCTCCGTACAGTGACAGTTAACAAATCATATAATGAACTTAGAGACACTTCCAAAGGCCGGTTCGTACCTAAGATTCTCCTGGCACGCGATCGAAAGATCTCACATGATGAATCGGTCAATGAAACCGGAATGTAACGCTATTAGGCTAGCAAATTCATGCACATAATCATTTACCGTAAACGGCATAAACATTATGAGCCATCAACACGTCCTACGTACCGGGTGTGCAAAAATAATAATTGATTCGCTGTACATGCACATGTACCACGCCGAGTCACAGAGTGTCGTACAAATTCAAATGAATTCAATTGGGTGTCGTAATGAGTATATTGGTGACTTAGTGATACGTGATGTCAGTATAATAGGAGACTGTAGTCATATACCTGTATCAGGTGGGCGAGGAACAGGACATAGGCGGCGGCCGCCCTCATGGCTTCCCTCGGGAATCCTTCGACTACCGCATCACCACTTGCCGTTGGTCCCGGCGGCCCCCCACGGCCAATCCTACTCCTATTCGTTACCGGTCACTCTCACTGAATGGGACGATCGGGTTGTGATCGATCGACCTCTCGATTTATCTATTCATCGAGCAGCACTGCACTGTTATTTCCTCTGGCGCACACACAGTCGATAGCACTTATCATTCGCGCGTCGAGACTGTCGTACAGTAATTGAAGATCTCGGTCGCGTGGGCTCTCAGTCAACCCTTATCCAGGACACTGATCACCGTTCACATTGAGGAAACGAGGCGCCAGCCCCGCGATAAGGCGCGTGGTTCGAATAAGGCCCACGGGGATGGCACTCGAAGTCTCTGGGCCTTTCGGTTGCTTAGCCCGTTACTCGTTACACGCTACTCACCGCGAAGTGACAGGTGATGTTTATGCGTTCCGTTACTTTCGCGCATGGACCTTCTTCTTCTTATTATTATTACTCTTCTCCCTCCCTCTCTCTCTCTCTCTCTCTCTCGTTATTCCTTTGACACACGCTCTCGCCTGTACACGTTTAATCGTATAATTGCTGGAACGCTTCGAATAAACTCTTCCTTCAGGAACGACGTCTCTTCCTCCTTGACGTCTTACCTTCTCCGATACTCTTCAGAATTCCGTGTACGTATCACAAATACACGTACGTCTGTATACACTCCGTGTGTTACACTCTCTTAACTCTTCTCGCTGGCTTCACGGAACGCGTTTAATTAAGTACCGCGAGTCCGCACAGAGTTTCCTAGCTGCTCCGGGGCATCGAGTGGATAATTGGTGTACTCCTTAAAGGACACTCCTCTAATTGGTACGGCCCCCCTCTTGAAGGTATCGGGGCAAATGATACCGATCGAAGGTGGATGCAATTAAAATCGCGCACTTCGCATTTAACACGTGCTCTCGATCGGTGCGAGCGAGAAAGACCGAAAGCGTGCGCCTTCACAGTTGTCATTAACGTTAACGAGAAACGTCAACGCGTCCCGTTGGCACGGGCGCTCGTGCTTTTCGTCGGTATAACTTGACACGTGCCGCGTGACATTGGCGCTTTAGAACTTGTACCACTTCCTCGGTGCACGTGTCTTCCGGGGCAGAGCACTTGTCCAAGGGAAATGTATCTGGAATTCTTAACAGAGTTATCTCTGTTATCGCGAATGGTGTGACAATTAGAAGACGCGCACTGACAGACCGATCGGGGTTGAGGGTGGGGAGCGGGGGGGGG